AAAAAAATTCAAAAAAGAAGGAAAAATAAAAAATGAGTTAAATTAAAAAAAGGAGAAGTGAGCAAAAAGAGGACGAGAGGAAAAATTTGCATTCCTCATTGTCACGGTCGACATCACATCTCCAAGGTATAATCCCTCGAACTCAAAAGCCCGTAAACCCCATTTTTGGTGTTTGTGGCGAGCTGGAAATTCACCTAATGTTCTCTTTACTTAGGGTGATGGGAGGGAATTCGATGTGACGCTTATGACGAGGCGGGTAAGTTCTGTACATATTTTTCTTAGTGTGGCGGGGACACTTCTAAGCACCCATGTATGCATCTCAGTGCCTGCGGGGAAAGAACTGAATTTCAAATAGGCATCCCCGAATATCCATACACCTTTCTTGGAATGGTGGGATTGGAGACTATAGTTGTTGTGTCTCCTGACACCTATCATTCACGTCTTTTTGGCATGGCGAGAAGACCCCGACTCCTAAAAATTTTTCTAAACATGGGAGATGCCAGGAGGCTGCTGAAATTCAAAGTGAAGTACACAAGACTTAAACAAAACACAGGTGACTTGATCTAAACAAAAATGAACAACATGGGACTTGCAAACTTAAATGGACCATAGGGAACCGGACTTTAAATTAATGAATATACAATAAGTTAAAAATGCAATCGCTAAGTAATAAATCTGGTCACCTAAATGAATATAAATGAGCAAATAGGGAACTCGTTGCATGCAAAGAACAACATGCGTGCAAAGAAATATAAATGCCCGCATATGATTATGAACACGAACATAATACTTGCATGAATACAACAATTCATTTGTATGAGGAGGGAGACTTGTGATGAGCACACAACCTAGTTCATGCAAGTGACAACGATTGATATACGAAGAATATGAAGGATTCCTCACAGCACAAATGAAGGAGTTGCAATAAATACAACAAACTATCTGCTAACAAAGGCAGTGAAAGTTCATGAAGGTTGTTAAAACTCTAAGAACTAGCCCAAGGCTATCCAAAAGGGAGGGATGAATTAGTAATTTAAAACTTCTTTAAGCAATAAGAAAATCCCCTTTTTAAATTATTTTTTTAAAATATCTGAAAATATCTGAAAATATCAATTTTATCCCTTGATGCGAAAGCAGATTAATTTAACAATAACAATAAAAATTAGAGTTTTCAACCACAGTAAATAACAGAAAAGTGTGAAAATTAAAATGCAGAAAAGTAAAAGAACGAAAACACCATATTTTATAGTGGTTCTGTTAAATCTGACCTATATCCACCCCCCGGAGGCCTCCGCTCCAGGTGTTGCAATAAACCTTTTATTGTATCTTCTTTAGCCTCCACAGCTAGGCGGAGAAACTCTTACAAAATCTCTTCCACCAAACCAGTGCGACAGAGTACCATAAATCTTTTTCACCCTCTTGGTGATGGCAGATAACCTAAAATTTTTTCTCCCTCTTGGATATGGCAGAGAACCAAAAATACTTTTACTCCGTCCTGGTGTTGGCAGAGAACCACGATCTAGTGCTGAAGAAAGTCAACCTGGAGCCACCCAAGAATTAAAGCAAAGATTTGAAGAAGATTGGAAGGAACTTTGCTTGGAGTAACCTTGTGAAGCTCTCACAACTCCCCTCACAAGAACTCTCCCTCTCTTCTCTCCCAAAGCTCTCCTCAACTCTCTCTATAAGCTCCCTCTTAAACAACTCAACAGTAAAAGATTGTCTTTACATGACAATAAGAGAGCTTAAATAGAGTGCCTCCAAAGAAGCCCTAAATTTCAATATGCGCTTCTGATCGTCCAGCACAATCCAAGATCACCCTGTACGATTAGTTCAAAATAACACTTTCAGCCAGTATAAACTGCATTGGTCTGGACGATCAATTCAATAGATTATACTGATCATTATGTACTATCCTACGATCATCATGTATGGTTAGTTCAAGAGATTGAACTGATCGTCCAGTACTATAGCTAGCAATTACATATTTTCCCATGCAGAGACGGTTCGTACCGTACGAAGTTTGGGGATCGTCTAGTGAAAAAATATGATTTTTTGTCTTAGACGATGGGTGGTATTTAATGATCATCCTATGCAGGAATCGGTTCATACAGTACAATCGTCTCAAATCATCCCGGACGATGTGATTAAACAATTTAACTATAATTAAACACTCAATCACATGATCAATTTAGGTATGATTATCGTCGATTATACAGTACAATGAAGATCGTACGATATAATTAGACACAAATTTTGAATATTAAAAAATTCTCTAAATTGTCATTGGCAACTATTTTTTCTGATTATAACTGATGGTCCTGTACGATCTAGATCATACAATACGATGAATTTAATCAATCTTAATAAGCTGAGGTGTCCTAATTAGGGTTTTATGTTTTAACGAATCGTCCAGTACGATCTAAATAGTACTGTACAATTAGTTCAAAAAAAAGAATTTTTTTTAACTAACCAACTCACTCCCTTGAGTGTGTTTGTGCAAGATTACTTAGCTCAGTATCCACCATATACATGATTTGACTCAAGAAAGGTAAAAGTACATTGAAGTTGAAATTACAAACCAACTTAATCCTAATCTACCTAATCTTGAGCTGATTGAAGTTGCAAGTGAACGGTGGATCTGAAATGATGGATTTGAAATGTTTGTGAGCAGGACAAAACAAATATGCAATAGATTGAAATAGCATAGTAAAAAGTACAATAATATTTTTTATCATCAAAATCACAAGGACTTAGGTTCAGATTTGCAACATGAAGCACAATCATGACAAGTACAAGCAATCAAAGACAATGTTAGAAGATTTACACTTAATGTAGCTCGCTTGCAAGTAATGATAGAAGATGTGAAATGCACTGATGGCCACCCTGTATATACACTCAAGAGAATATGTAGCGAGTGTAATAGCCTCCCTACGACCAATATCAGCAAGCTTGAAAATGCATGTGGCAATCTCCATGAATATTGAAGGATACGCCATGAATACAATAATACCCTGTAGTCAATATCAACATACAAGCAAACATATTCAACCATACAAGCAGTGATGATCAACCATGCAAATGAACGCACTAAACCGCTTACGAATGATGAAAGGTGATGTGTAATATTCACATTAGTCATGCAAGCAAAGTGCAGTAACCCTTCTTGCGAGCAACAATGATTAACGTACATGTGTAGTGATTTCCCTATACTCGACAATCAACCAGCTTGCAAGTGAAGGCACTAATCCACTTGGAACCAACAAAGTGGATAAGCAGTGAATGTAACAATTTCAATGGACTTGCAGACGCATGTGAAAGTCTCCTATGAACACTTGCAATGCACAATAATTCGCTCACAATAAGCAATAAGCAGCCTATAGCGCAACTCCACGCCATCAGATCCGCAACATGCATACAAGCGGACATAAGACGTTTACAAATTCCCAAATGAAACCCAACGCATTTCTCAATGACAATCATTTTTATAGCTGATCATTGTAAAAAAAAATCCCCCACCATGCATCGAAATGCATATCAATATATTCATAGCATGCAAATACATCATCTGAAATGCAAAATGCTTTACACTTTGGTGATACATTGCAGTAACATGAAAAATGCATTATGCAAACATACTATCCAGCATATAAAATGGATAGTGCATCGGCAATACACTACGCTGACATGCAAATAAATCATGCAGTACGTGAAAGCACTGGACTATCATGTAGATGTGTTATGGAAGAAAGCAAGAAATACATAGATGTATCATACGTACATATCATGCAAATATATCATACGTTGTATTAATGCAGGCCACCACACTGCATACCAATACATAATGCATGATGTAAATACATATATCAACACCCAGATAGATACATGAATGCATAATATGCGGATGTGTCCACATCCACCGCATATGTACAACAATCATATAAATGCACCATATGTGTATATGTCGCAGCATGCAAAATACATCATGTAAATGCATGAGTAACATATGAATGTAGCGTATACCCATAGCTAACATGCCAATACGCTATGTTGATACATCAAACCATCACACTGAGCATTACGTAAATGCAAAATGCTACATACATGCATGTTATGCAAATTTACTATATATTATGTTAAGCCATTATGCTGAATATCAGCATGTCATTCAAACATAATTAAGTAATGTGCAGATGCAAAATGACAATATACATGTATGCATGTAAATATACAATTGTATACATGAGAACATATATATGTAGATGAAAGTGTAAGAGTATATGTGAGCGTATAGATGTCGTATGCACCCACTATATTGCATACTTATAGTCATTACACAAATATATCATGCAAAATGCATTTAATAGTATATACCCGCATTGGCCCTAATGAGCGTGATGTGTGCACACACGTGACGTCTGAGGATGTTGCCCGAGTCAAAGAAATGAACTCAAGTTCAAGCCTAATCCTTCTATGTGAGTAGATAGAAGTCGACACGGCTCAAACTATCATACAAATATACGATCGCGATATCGACCGTAGTATTTATTTTATATATTCATATTAAGCCTTCAAAGTCTATAACAAGAAAAATTAGTTGATGAAGGCATAAAGCTGGCAATGAACCCGATCATCTATTGGCAAGTGGACAGAGTCGATAAGGTTCAAACGAGAAAATAAAAATGTTTATGAAAACTCCGATAATGACCATGTTGATATAAAATCTCAACCGGAGGGGATCACAAATATAAAAATGCTTCCCAAATTTCAATAAAAATTCATTAAAAATCTAAGATATTTAAAATTGAAATAAAACGCCTAAACACTCAAAATAAAAATTTATCCATCCTTAATAACTTGCCAAGGTGGACAACTCTGAAAATTACTTCATCTCACAAAGAGCAAATGTTTGTTCAAGAATGTCACTAAGATTCATTCTCAAACTATCTCTTACTAGTAAGGACATGACAAGTGTTCTATAACCAGTGATTTCGTCATTAAATGGCACCATAGGTAAATGGTTATGATCGGGACCCTCTGAGCCGGGTGATTTTGCCGCCAAATAGCCCCTTCAAATTACGATCATGGTCAGAGCTTGCATGTTCTCCAATGGTTTCGAATACTTGAGATATGAATCAATAAGATATAATCGATAGGGCGCAAAGTCCTCTGTTAGTTAATGTGGATTCAAATTTGTCCCCTTAGACAAGTATTCACCCCATTTCTAGAAGGTACCCTTGACGAAACAACCCATGGCTGCTGATAAGAATCCTTTTGTCAGGTTGGGTTGACTACCTCCTCTAACTAAGTTGACCATTGATCATGATGACTCGGGATGATGGAACCATGGGATCTTGATCGGATTCATTATCATTCCCCCCACCATCCCCTTGAAGTGCATTGTGGTGAATTTATAATTTTAAATATTATATTTTCAAATAACAAACTCATGCTGCTACTATATGTCAGATACTATGTATTTATTTGATGACTAGTCTTAATCAAAAGTTCTCTCTCGCTATTGGGAGGGGTAAACAACTATAGGGGCATGTGCCTATAGGTAATCTGAACTCATATCATGAAGTCCTTGCAAAATGAGGGCAAAATCTCTCGGTGATATCTTATACACAGCCCAGTCTGCCTTCTTAAAATTTACCTCGGAACTTAAGTGTTAAAACTTTCCTCGACAACTCGAAAAGAAAGAAAGAGGTTCGTAGAGAGGCCTGGGTGTGAATTTTTAGAGCCCACACACCTCTATTGGAATATCATATTAACATTAATGTGCGTATCCCAAAAATAAAAATTACAACCCAAAACTCTTTGAATATTTCATAATTCACAACTTTGACCGCCAGCAATTTATAAATATTTTTTTGCAAAATTCGCCTTGTTAATCTAAAAAAATAAATAATCAGCATGGTAAAGACAACTATTTATATTAAAATTGCCGTTAATTTCTCATTATGATGTAAAAATATTCTAAATGTTTCCATCTATTAAGAATGTTCTCTTTTTGAAAGTAAAATAAGAATATATGATCTTCACATACAGTTATTATTCGTTTAAATGCATTAAATAGAATATTCCTTAGGATTAACATCAATTAATTAGGTTAGTATATTTATAAGGGCTAACAGAAATACATGAGGTTCGATAGTTGGATGATATATTAGTAAATCTGAAAATTTTAATGGTACATCAAAAGCATGTCTTATAAGGCATCATTTAGAATAATTTTCTTAATATTTTCTAAAATAATTTTATAGTACAAAAATTTCTAATTCAAAATATTTTTGTATTATAAAATAATTTTATTAAACAATAAAAAAAAAACTTTCCCAAATGAAACTTAAATGTGGTGCTTCTATGTTGCAATCTTTAATACTATTGAGTCACGGAACTGCCAACAAGACAAGAAACAACTGAGAGGAAGTTTCTCAGAAAAGCAATCAAGACTGCGCTTGATGATTTGAAGACAAAGTATGCAGGGCTTTTCCTCAGCTCGCATTCTCGTAAGGTTCTATTTTGACTCAAGAAACTACTTTGTTCGTTTTGTAGAAATCACTGCTTTTTTCAGATAATCATTAGGGTCTGTTTGGTTGCAAGATTTAATTAACATTTGGGTGTATATTAATCTTAAATTCTTTTTTTTATCATTCTAAGTTAAATTTGAATTACTTAACTTTGGAGGAGACTTAAGTTTCGTTTGGGACGGCTTTCTTACTGCTTAGTATTAAAATTTTAATTTTTAAACTAAAAAACTGTTTTATAAAGCAATAAAAAAGTCGTCCCAAGTGGGGCGGCTTTCTTATTGCTTCTTGAAGCAGCTTTGTAGTACAAAAATTAAAATTTTGAAATAAAAAGCTGCTTTAAAAAGCAACAAAACAATCATCTCAAAGGAAACCTTTTTCACATCATTTCATTCCTTGTATCTCTTCTCCTTCTGAATTAAAATCTATTTGTAGCCAAGCAGGCCCTCGAAATTCCTAAAAAATAACATGGTTTCAAGTTTTCTTCTATCTTGCATTAATGAAATTGCTTATTTATTACCTGCCCATCTATTATTCCAGCAGATTCAAAAGTATGCTCCAGACCTTTCAAGATCTATTGCCAGTCTCATAGTATCAGCTAACGATCAGGAATTCCAACGTGAATGTGCTTCTCTTCTGGGCCTGGACTCAGAGGATTCTAACCATGAAACGTTAGAACTCTGCATCCAAGAAAAGCTCATGAAAATAATATGCGTGAATGATATGAAAAAAGGAGCAAGGGATTCGGCACCCAACCTCTTTGAAAGTGAGCCTTTGTATGATGATGACTGCATCGAAGATGATGGTGATGATGGTGATGATGATGATGTTGATGATGGCATTTTAGATCTTTGTTGATTTTGAGGATAAAATGAATTGTGAAAATGATGCAACGTGAAATGATGTGTTCCCTTATTGCTCTATATAATTGCTTTCGAACAAAGCTGATACAGTGTTATTAACATCTAGGAAAATCAGCTGAATACGAGCATTTCATTTAGCTAAGCGTTCTAACTAAAATTCTCCTTGTAACACCAGTCAATATTTTTAGGGGAGAAACATGAGAAATTATTTTGTGGGGATATTGGATGGTCCGGAGGCTAATCAGAATGCGCTACGTCACCTGGTACATAGCAGTAGTATTAAGCAAAAAAGTGATGTAGCACATTCTGATTTCTCCGGATGCTATCGGGATCCACACAGAATAATTTTTTCGAGAAACACGGGAATCGAAAGTCCAACGTGCCTTGAAAACCCATATAGTTATGCCCAAATCTAGCTTAACCCCCAGGGAGAAGTATAGTTTAACAAATGCAATGCCAGCCTACGTTTTTTTTTATATTACACACTAAAGAAAACTTGATGAATGGACAAATGTATAAGTTAAAAAGAAGACTTTTTTATGGAAGGTGTTTTTTCCTTCTATTTTGACATTTAAAAAATTATAAAAAGGAAAAAATTTTCATGAATAAATATGAATATAAGACTTATGGTTGAGATTTTTCCCTCTTAATAAAATTGTATTATTTAAATAAAATTATATAATTTTAAAGTGAAGTCAGGATTATGGCTAATCAAGGTGTGGTAGAATTAATAATTTTTAAATTTATCTTTAAAATATTGTTATAATTTGAGAAGATTATTATTATAATTGATATGTCACTAAAAAATCAACGATTGGGTAGAAATCTCATAATTGTTTGTATTAGCGCCCTAAAATGTAACAATATAAATGTTAAATTATAATTACATATATTATAAGAACACATTTTATTTATATTGTATAAAATTAATATAGATAATAATGTGTCATGAATATATATTAATTGAACACTATTGTTAAAAATGTAAAATAATACAAATATTATATTATGAATGCATTATTAACATCTTTATGTTATAAGGCATACTAATATAGATGATGGTGTGTCATGAATAAAAATATATCTTTTAATATTAAAAGATGCTTCATGAATAGATGTGTCTTTTAATATAAAAAGATGCTTCATGAATAGATTATCTATTACAAAACAGTTGCATATGAAAAGAGATGTCCAAATTAAAAAGATGTGAACTTCTCTTATAAAAGAATGATTTAAGCTCTACAAGAAAGATGATGGGAAATAACCACTCTCACTAAGTCTTTTATAATTTAGAGAATGAAATTGTGCTAAAAACACAAATTAAATTTATAATAATATTGTGTTGAGAGCACAATTTGAATTAAAAAAAAAAAAGAGATTTCATTAATAATTAAATGAAGGTGCTCACTCATTAAAATATATTTGGCCAGGTGATTAGAAGAAGAAGACTTGCGGTCTCAATCACATTTTCTTTATTCATTTTTGGAATAATTACAAAACTATTTATTTAATATTGGTATTCAAAATTATCATTTTAAATATGGATAATAATCTAAACTAATTAATAATTATTAATTATATCTTGAATCTATAATTATATAGTAATAGTATGGTCCATCCACATTAAAATGAAATAATCTTATATGGATTATTCAATATGAAGATATTAATGATATACGTACTTTATATAATATGATTATATAGAACTGAACGAGATAAATTTTAAATTCTCTAATAACAAACATCATATATAAAGAATATTCTTATAAGATTTGGGATGTAAAACTCCAAGAAAGGAAATATGTCTTTATGTATTGTAGTTTATCTTTCTAAAAAGAAGTCTCCTTGTTGATAATAATAATAATAATAATAATAATATATAAAAAATAGAAGGGTGAGTTTTTTAAATAGGTGTTGAAGATATGCGCCGTGATATTTGATCCAGATGGATGGTTTTAAATTTGGAGGGCCTCCCCAACCCCACTTCGCGGAGAGGGGATGCAAGGATGTTGCCAAAAATTTAATAATCAAGAAACTCCCTTAAAATGGAATTGGATCAAGAAGGCAAAACTGAATGCACGGGTGGAGGTTTTCTGGTGGAGATTGAAGATGAATGCTATTCCATCATTACAATTTTTATGCTATAGAAGGCTCATCCAAAATGCTAATTGCCCAAGGGGTTGTGATTCAATAGAAGATGTGGAGCATATGTTGTGTGGTTGCTATAAGCTCAAAGAGGTTATTCAACATTTGAACCGTTGGGGATTCGATATTCCAATGTTTGATAACAGTGAGCATTGCATTGATTGGCTTGAAACCAATGTTACGAGGAAAGGTATGTTGGTTAAACTGTATTGCATTATTGTGTTTCTATCTTGAAAGAGTAGAAACAAGAGGATTCATGGAGGTGTCGAAGATAACTCCAGCTTTATAGCCTCAGATGCTATTTGTCAAGCTTCGGTCTCTCAGAATTTTAGCCAATATAATTTGGGCTTTTAGGATGTTAATTAGTCGTTAAGACTGTCTAATGCTTGGCATCCTCCTCCACCAAATTGTCTAAAAGTTAATGTTGATGCATCACTTCTTTCAACTTACAAAGCGAGTATAGCTGCAGTTTTCCGTGATAGCAAAGGAAGGTTCCTCTACGCTTATGGTAAATCCTTCATGTATTGGGATATAGCTCAATTGGAGCTGCTTGCTATTCATTCTCTTAAGGAGGAGATCAATGATTGGATGTTCAAATTCAAAGGCATAATCATTGAAGGAGACAACTCAAACATCATCTCTTACTTTAAAAAGGCTTGGAAGAATGGGAAGTACAATGATGATGGTATAAAAATTCTTACAAAATTTAATTTTGTTATTTCTAATAGCATTAGTAGATAATGTAATAAGTTAGCAAACTTATGTGCTAACTATGCTTTAGTGAGTAGCTTTATTTGGGATGTTTGCTATGAGAATAAGGTTCCTCCTTCATTTTTAACATATTGGAGGAATCTAATTTGTAGTGGCTTTATCGTTTTTTATTAGTATTGATCATCTTCGGCTATCTTCAAAAAAAATAAAAATAAAAAAAGAAACTCCCTTAAATGTCAAACAAAAAATTATCATTTCAAATAATTAAGAAAATATTAATTAATTTAAAATTAATTAAATCATGTTTTATTATGTAATTCATGTTGAGACCCACCATATACATGTTTTCTTGTCACTATCAACTGAAAACCTGCTAGATATCTTAGAAGGCAGATATAATATACAAAACTATAATTTTATGTATGAAATTAGCTCATTATTTTATTTATAACATTTGATTATAATTCTTATGAAAAGAAGTCAAATAGCAAAGCAATTGATGCAAATTTTTATTTACATTTCTGTTTCCTCATGTCGGTGCCAGCTAATTTAATATATATAATTAAAAAAAAACAGATTATTGCTGAGATTCTACACTATTCACCCTACGATCTGCCTCCATATGCCGTTATATTTCCGTTTCCGTTATAGTATCATGCCGTCCATTCGCATATAGCCGACAGGCATGTCAGGTGGAATAGAGAGTGGGAAAGCAGTACACACTGGAGAGTGAAAGTGTGAGCGTATATTGTGTTGCCCACATTGAAGAGAATTTCTCCACATTGAAACATCCACGAGACGTTCTGTTTGGGAAGAGAGGGACGGGGGGAGGGAGAGCGAGAGAGAACCAGCTGTAGCCCCAGTAAAGGGCGGAGCTTGCTCCAATGGAGGAGATGCAGGGTCTCTGTCTGGCGAGGACGCCGCTCAACGGAGAGGCGAGATCGGCGTGCGGTGGCGAGGGGAGGTAGGTGAGTTCACCGGCTTCAAGAATGGAGACCTACGCTGAGATTTTCGGCGGATTGGCTGCCTCCTGCTCCATTCCTGTGCTTGTGCTCCCAGAAGTCATGGAAGGCTTCGAGAAAGAGCTGGAGGGGGCTCAAAGCTCTGGTTTGAACTATTTGGAGATCTTTGGAGTTCTAGATGCAGGAACATTCTCATTGTCCTACGATAAGCTTTTGTCCATGGAGAAGGGGTTAAAAGAGAAAGATAAAGAGGACGACAGGTTTGTCTTGCGCATTTAATTTCTGCTGCGATTCCTCTTGTTGTCATCATTGTTAGTGTTGGTCTTGAAGCTTCTTGTAGGCTTTGTGTAATGCTTTAATGATGAGTTTTTTGTTTCAAAATGCTGCTTTCGTAGCATGTGTTATCATGCCAGTTTGGTTCTTGAAGGTTTTGAGTTTTGAAATCTCTGTAGTTTCTTGCTGACATTATACTTTATAGAATGGGGATAATTTTTATATGGAAAGGAAACAATTTTTTGATTTACTGTTTTTTCTAGGCTATGCAATTTAATAAATAGTATAGCTGAATGGGAGATGTTAGTTTTAACAAATTTGGGAGTTGCTTTTTGGGCTTCACCGCACAGGGGCACCGTTTTTTTATTTATACTAATTATCTGGTACAACAACTACTTTTTTTTGCACTTTTCAGTGAATTAATTCAGCCTAAGCTCCCAACCAACAGATTGATTTGAATTTTGGAAGATCTGTTTTGCAAATTAATAAGTCTACTTGCTGCTTGCTATGATCTTGCTCATTTTAAAGAGAGACTTGTTTTAAAGATTTAGGCATGTTGTTCTGCCATGATTGTCTATATCATTGTGGTGATGTTGTAAAAATATATCTGTTAATTCCATTTGTTGTGTAGGAAGGGTCTTGCTTGAGATCTAATTCACAGAGATATAACTATAAGCTGATCACGCAAGAGGAACCGAACTATTAAATTTATAGAAGAAATATGAATTTTATTATTCTTTCAATATAGACTATAGAATATAAGAGTATTACAAGTAAGAATTCTCTATCTCTAGGAAAAAGAAGACTAATATTTTAGGATTTTGTGAGATCATATGATAGTTTCCCACCATGGATCATTACTCTGCTTGGGTGTTACTATTGTGGTCCTAGCCATTGTTTAAAATTGTGCAATGTGAGGTGCACCTTGAAGCTCTCCTCAGTCCAATTCCAGCAAAAAATGCCTCAAGTTTTTTTTTTTTGTGAGGAGTGCGCCTCAATTTGGGCACGCCTAGCTTCATTGACATGAGGTGTATGTCTCACCCTATTTATATATTTTTTGAAGTAAAATTTACATAAATCATAAACTAAAGCCCCGAATAAATCACGCCTTCACACACTCTCGAGTCGCAATAGCTTCCTCTAAAATGCCTTGACCTTTAGCTCGTCATCTCCACCGCAGCCATCACTAACGTAGTCATATTATTTTAGCTTGGGAGGCATCAGAATTCATAGATGATGAGGCAGGGGAGAGATTTGTTATGATGCATACTCAAATAATGATCCCCTTATTGATAACAGTTCAAATGACTTTTTAGTTATTGCCATACTATTTCGGCTTTATTTAAAAATTAAAAAGGAATGAGTAGGGAACTGGGAATGAAGGAATTTGGAGTTGAACTTGATGTTGTATAATATTTTTATACAACTTATATATTTTGTATTATTATGCTTATGTGATGTTTGGATTTCAATTCTATTTCAAGCAATTTATCAGTTGTCTTTTTATGTCTTGTGCAATCTTTAATTCATATGTGTTTTTTCAATTTGTTACTTTATAATTCAATATAAAGTTAATATGCTATTATGTAGCATATTATTTGGTTATTATACCAAAAAAATCACTTTAAACTTATTTTCATTTTATGCAGTTTTTGGATTTTATGTCTTATGCCTCAAAATATCTTGAGGCTTACGCCTTGCCTTACGGGTGAAAAACGCCTCAATACCCAATTACGTAATTTTAAACTTTGTCCTAGCCATTGTTAATCAAGATGAGTTATTATGAATAGATGTTGTAGAAATTAAAATAGATGCCAAGTTATTGTTGAATGATTGTCAGCAGTCAATGTTCACTAGTAATGCTTTCCGTTGGAATGCTCATAGCTTGAGATTTGATATCTTAGCCATCGTTTGTATACATGTATCCGGGATATGTTGGGTCTTGTTCACTGATAAGTTGGACTGTTGAGGAGTCTTAAGTTGCTGAAGAATATTTTGATTTCAAATTTTGCTTTTCCATGCGTCAAAAGTTTATTTGATGCTAGTTTTTGATATTAATATTTCCCATCGTCTGGAAAACTATATATGTGCTATAGTTTGAGGAATAGAAGCATTATCTTCTTGTTTTCATCCTCGCTATCTACACTCTCAATGTCTTCTACGAGGAAATTCTTTTTTAAAGAGCTTTTTTGAGAATCAAGAAAGTTGCATTTTCAGCCTTTTTCCATAGTTCCCAAGAGCTATTACGAGTGTCAAGTGGGCTTGGATTCTCCTACCCATTTCAATGTTCTTGGGATTATAGCTTCATTGGCCCCTTTCATGGCTTCAATGGATGGTCTTGTTGTTATTCATTCTTTTTTGTGTAGTGAGTCTCACAGTATTAATTATCTAAATATTGTTAGTTGACATGATAGTTGTGTTAGCGGTTATTGGATCTCGAAATAAGATGAAAAAGAGGGAACAAGTGCCGCTTCATATTCTTTAGAAGAGTCCAATTGTGCACGTGGTCATCTTCAACCTTAAGAAGGGTCAAATTGTGCTGGTGGTCATCTTCAACCTATAAGGGTACTTAAAAATACCCTTATTATTGTCAATTTATGCCCTTTCATGGATATTCCTACTTGTGAGGAAGTTGGTGGTCAGAGTCCAAATTCATTTGAATGGTAATATTGTCAAAGATCACTGTTTTTTTAGTTTTGTGAGAAACATGAGTTTGTTTAGTTGTAGGAGCTCAAAATTTAAAGAAGTGACGTTGGAGTGTTAGTGAGGTTGAGTTTAATTACAATCAACTTTATGATAGAAATCTATCTGCTCATGAGAATCTTGAGAACGTTAGAGTGATTATCAAGAGGTTGGAGCTGAACATCCTTGTCCTAAAAGAACAAATGTAACAAATGAAAATGTCTGATTGGACTGTAACAAAAGAAAATGTCTGATTGGAATTTGTGGGGCCAATTATATCATTTAGAGTCGTATTATATTATATTGTTTAAAATGCTGGAGAAGTATGTGTTATCATGCTTTTCATCCTCATAGAGGTAGTCATCCTTTAATCAACATCAAAGTTGTTTAATTCCACTCCGAGTCATCTTGAACTAGAGACTATCTTCATTTCATGCGTCCTATGCTATTGTAAGGAAAGAATGGAGTAAGAAAGTTGTTGGTAGTTATTCGGATATTGTGAATATCAATTGTAAGAGAACCTTGAAAGCATTGTTCTTCTGGAGTAAAGCCAAGCAAAAAAATTTTAATCAATTGAAGGATCATCTCATAGAACATATATTGGACCTGCAGGTGAAGGAGGCGGCTGTTGGGTGGCTCTCGGAAGATGATATCTAGTCCCTCAAGGCTAAGGTATCTGAGCTGAATTCTACATTGGCTCGTTTGAATACTTGGTGGAGGCAGCGTGCTAAGACCAGGTGGATGGCTGAAGGTGACATGAATTCAAAGTTTTTCAATCATTTGCTAGTACTAGAAGAAATTCAAATTGGATCTTTAAGGTCAAAGATCACAATGGAGCAGTTGTTGAAGATAAAGCTCAGATTGAAGATATTTTTATCCGGTTCTTTAACAGGAAATGAAAAGAAAGGGAATGTGTTCTGGAAAGTTGGCCTTCTTCAATGGCTTCTCTTGATGATGATGATAGATGTTGTTTGAGTAGGGATGTATCTTTGGAGGAAGTGAAGGGGATTGTCAAGCAAGTCGATGCTAATATAGCTCTGGGTAATGAGTGATATTTTTTATTCCTTTATCAAAGCTTATTGGGGTATTATTAAGGAAGATTTTTGAAATGCTATTAACCAGTTTTTCTACTCTGGGAACATGAATGCTGAATGGAAAGATACCTTAGTTGTGCTTATCCCGAAGGTGGGTAATTGTATGACTCCTAATTACAGACTGATCAGCCTTTGTAAAATAGTCTACAAGGTGGTATCCAAGGTTCTTTTGAATAGAATGAGTACCATTATGCCAAAACTGATTTCGGTAGAGTAAGTGGCATTTATTAAGGGAAGATCGTTGTCAAATCATGTGCTTCTAGCTCAGGAGGTATTCCACAAATTCAGATTTTCTAAATCTTCTAAAGGTTTAGTCTTGTTCAAGATTGATATGGAGCAAGCATATGATTGCATGTGTTGGGACACCTTGAGGAAAGTACTGGAGTATTTCGATTTCCCTCTGAAGTTCTCCAGACTCATTATGGAATGTGTGGAAAATTCAATGTTTTCTTTGATGATTAATGGTAATTATTCTAATTGGATCAGTGCTAGGAGCGGTTTCCGTCAAAGTTGTCCTTTATCACCTTTTCTATTTATTCTTTGCTCTCAACTTTTATCCAATGCTCTTATTCAGAAAGGTGATTCTATTGGTGTTCGTATTTGCTCAAATGGTCCAAGCATTTCTCATCTGCTTTATGCAGATGATACTATTATTTTCTCTGAAGCTAACAAAAAGATTGTGAAGGAGGTCAAGGTTGTTTTCTTGGAATTTTGTGGTTGGACGGGTCAGAGGATTAACAATGACAAGTCTGCTATTCTTTTTGGTAAGTTTGTTAATAGGAGGAAAAGGAAATCCATAACTCGTATTATGGGGTTTAAGCAAGTTAGAGAGTTCAAGTATCTTGGAGTGAAGATTGCTTTGAAGAGGCTTGTTGGGGCTAATTTTCAATTCATTATTGACAAAGCCATTAAAATGCTTAATGTGTGGGGGAGTAAATTCATTTCATTGGCTGAGAAGTTTATACTTGTGAAATCAGTTATGCTTTCCTATCCTACTTTTCTTTGTACACATTCTCTTGTTCCCTAAGGTGTTCTTGATGAGCTAGATAAGTTGTGTAGAAGTTTTATATGGAATAAGCGAGATGGGAGTCCTGACCTTCATTATGTGAGCTAGAATGTGCTTTGCAAACCTATTAAGTGGGGGAGGATGCGGTTTACACTCTTGTGTAAGTAAACTTGAACCTTTGAGAGCTAGGTTGGCATGGAAATTC